GAAATCTCGCGAATCAAAATTCGCGACAGAGATGCGCCAGCGATTTACTAACTTAAAGCGTAATTTTCTAAATCGCGAATTTCCACAAAACGAGCGATGCTTTTTAAATTAAAAAATTATTGAAATTAGTTTTGGTAGCATATCTATCCTGCTGATAAGATTGTACACTGTCGTTTATTATATCGCAACTTCTGCAAAAAATCATTAAGGAATTGGTTGCTGAAAGACGGAGGGAATTAATTAAAATTCGTTGAAATATGTATGCAAAAATTTGAATTTGTAAGTGTGAAATTATAAGATCGTATGATGAAGAGTCGATCGCAGAAATTTTGTCAGAAAGATATTTGAAGAAATATTTTCAAAATTTAGACAAGTTTTGCAATAATTTGATGAACTGTTTGAAAATTTTTGTTTCCAATTAGACTTTTTGTTGAAAGTGGTTTATTTATTTTGTTTATTGGTCAGGAATTCACCGTAAAACAGGCAGATATGTTGCTATAAAACTGATTAATAAAATGAAATTTCCAAACAATAAAGAAGCGGCTCTTCGAACCGAAGTTGACATTTTGAGCGTATGATTTCTTGGTTCATTTGAAATTTTTTTATATATATGAAATTTTGACCTTCCAATTTCTAATGTTTTCAATCTTGAAAAGTATGCTTATTTTGTATTTATAGCTAATAGTTTAATTTTCTTTTGGATTTACAGAAAGTTGAACATCCGGGTGTGGTGGCATTCCAGGAAATGTTGGAAACTACAGATCGAATATTCGTTGTGATGGAAAAACTAAGGGGTGATATGCTGGAAATGATTTTGTGCAGCGAAAAAGGAAGGCTGTCCGAACGGGTTACACAATTTCTTATTTATCAGGTATGAACCTGCAAGTTAGGTGTCCCTCTCAATTCTTGATCAGCGCAAGATGATTATAAAGAATACAATTTCTGATTCTGTTCACTAGTTACTAGAAGATTCAAATTTCTACCAATTTCCATTTCGCATAATAACATCTTCCAAAAAAATCTGCAACACCGCTATTATGGCAATTCCTTAGTTGCGGTCCATCATAATTTTTTCGATTGGAATTGAAAAACTTGATAATGAGTCTCGTTTTTCAGCACATTAATTAATTGATTTTCACTTAGTTCTTTATAATCGTTGTCCATAGATCGTATTTAAACTTTAGATTGATGAAGAAGTAAATATATGAAAATCCGCAATCAAGGAATATCGTTTAAATGTGTGGGATGGGTATAATTAAGTGCAGTTACTCCTAATGAAAGTTCCTTTTCCGCAGAATTTTGATATTCATCACACAAAGAAATTTCCGAAAGCTGTTTTGGGGAATTAAATTCGATACCCTTTCCAGATACTTATTGCATTGCGTTATTTACACAGTCTGAATATTGTACATTGTGATTTAAAACCGGAAAATATTTTACTAGCTTCAGATTCAGATTTCCCTCAGGTAACCTTTTTATTTTTCAATGATAATAACAGGTAATTTAAAGTAATTTACGTATCTGTTTCGTCAAATCAAGCGTGCTAGAGCAAATATTTCATAATATTTCCATTTCTGAAAGATCAAATTAAAATTTATCCCTTTCTGAATTTCTGTGCCTTCAAAATGTTTAACTTGGACAGAAATCCAAAATAGTACTCAACGCAAAATGCATAATTCATGATTTAACTTCAGAATTTTACTCTAATTATTATTTGATTCCAGATAAAACTCTGTGATTTCGGTTTTGCTCGGATTATCGGTGAACGAGGATTTAGACGATCGGTTGTTGGTACACCTGCTTACCTTGGTTAGTTACTTTTTCAGATTATTATTCCAATGTTATGGGTATCGATTGAATTGATGATATGCATTTGTTGAAGGAAGAATTTGTAAGTTGAAATAAAATTCACCAAAACATTCCTTTTATTTCATTTTTATCCTGAAAATTACCTTTTCCTGCTGCAAATTTCAAATGAATCAATATGTCTTCTAAAAATTATTCATTTTTTCGTCTAAAAACGGATCAAACGATTGAGTGATGAAATGGAAGCGATTGAGTGATGAAATCATTATCTGTTTGTAAAACATCTCTACCATAATAAATATTCTTCTCTATGTTGAAATAACGTTATACTGATCGATCATCAACGTTTTGCGAGATAAGAATAAGCCAAGATAGGATATAGTGTTTGTCTGTTTTACTTTCTATGAAATTCAATGAATGACCGCTGATTTTTAAGCCCCAGAAGTGCTGTGTAATAAAGGCTTTAATCGGTCATTGGATATGTGGTCCGTTGGTGTTATCGTCTACGTTAGGTTAGCTTTGCCTTCCGGAATTTTTTTAAAGTGCGATCTAAAAGTGCCAGTAGCAAAAGTTGTTAATATTCCTTTCGTATTTCTGAAAAAAAAAAATGAGCAAACGAACTAACAATGTTGAAAGCGTCAAGTGATCAAGTCATCCATAACTTTAATCGTCTGCTTAAATGCTGTTACCATTCTACAACTTCGCTTATATTTAAAAATTACTGTCACTGCGCACATTTCATCATGGTAGTTCCGATGTTTTTAGTTTGTCCGGTACTTTCCCATTCAACGAAGACGAGGATATCAATGATCAGATCCAGAATGCCGATTTTATGTTTCCGATGAACCCATGGTGTGAAATTACAGCTGTAGCAATCGATTTTGTCAATAATTTACTGCAAGTTAAAATGAACAAACGATTGACAGTGTTGAAAGCGTTAAGTCATAACTGGCTACAGGTACGTTCGCGTTGATGATATTGCTTATTCAGCTTTTATTTGTACTTTTTTTTCTTCACCCTTTCTAGTATCCATCCATTCCTGATATGCCTGAAGTTTTTTGAAGAGTGCATTTTCAGATATCTTTCAAAAAAGAATTGACATTCTTGATGTGTAATTTTTCGGAAAAACATGGCACTGTGTGCTCAAAAGTTTTTCATTAGACTGTTTGGTATATATGACATATGGTCACTTTTCAGAATTATCAGCTTTGGTCAGATTTGCGATGTTTGGAAAAAGAAGTTGGCGGCCGATTCTTGACGCACGAATCAGATGATGCTCGATGGATTAGCTATGAGAATGAACTGGGCTTGAAACCTACTTATTTGTAGAGATCTTCATCGAGATTTTCATTTTTCATTTTTTTTTTATTTTTTGTAGAGATTTTCATTGAATGTTGAAGCGATTTAAATCCGGAAATGAATCTTTCGAAGGTCATACCATTTGTTTTCTGTCTGTATTGCGTAGATTTCCAGGTCCATAGTTTTCTCTTTAATTAGTTATTGGTGAGCATATGGAAGAAAAATGTTGCCTGTTTTAGAGGAGAGTGACAATAAGTTCTTGTGTTGCCTGATACGGACACAAAGTGGTTGATGAAAGTTTACTGACGATGAAGTTTATTAGTTGTGGATAACAGATCAAACCAGATTAAAATGTAATTCAAACGACTGAATAGAACAGTAGTAATAAAAACTAGGTTTGACACAGTAGGACAATGACTTTGTCGAACATAAGTAACAAGTAAGTTAAGTCTGGTATTTCTATAATGGATATGTCTAGTATTCCAACAGCTGCATGTAAGATCTTTATATATCAGATTAGTTCGCAGGCAAGAATTCACATGTGAATGGATTGCCGAATGTATGTAACGTCCCCACCACTGATTCATTATTAGAACATTTTCACGCGACTCAAAGATTAGATGAATGACTCATTACTTTGGAATAGAAAAATATTTAATTTTTTATATGGAGTGAATAAGGACTCACCACTTCACATAAAAAATATCGTATAAATTTCTCTCGGTTTGCGACAGTGGGATACCTACGACGAACATATTTTACCAGTTATTTGTCCAAGTAATATTTCATTTCTGACATGCTTTTACAAACTTAGCTTTAGAGTTACAGGACCTGGATAAAAAACTGAATAATTCTCTAATCTATAGTTTAGGATAGTCGTAAGATATCTCTCGTTTCGAAGCGTCTTTTTAGATGGAATAAAAGAAGCGAAATGAATATGTCAATGAACCGGATTCAAAATTTATGCGTTGGATTATATTTACAATTAAGGATTAAGGATGCCTACCAGTAACGAGTAGTGTAAATGTGTTGCAAAAAACATGAAACCATTTATTCCATTTATTCAAAGCCAAATTTTGCTCGTGAAGTATCTTCGTTTCCTTTCGTAATATATATTTGCAAAATTTCCATAACAGGAATGCAAGATCGTCTTGGGAAATTCAAACTAATAACATAATGTATCCAAAAATTATCTGCACCTTTATGGGTTGATGCATTTTTATTGTGACATATAGAGGCATTTCATGTGATATTCTTGTTCACTTCTCTAAATTTCATTTCAGTTAAACAGTGATGATATAGCGTCCGAATTCCAAGAGAACTATCGAAAATTATCTGTATGGAAATTTAGGCAGTTACTAATCCATAATCAGAATGACAAGGACTTAACATATAAAAAAAGGCGTTCCATATACAGCATATCATAATTAGTAGAATTCCTTATTATAATTTTCGCCCCTTGAAGTAGGTTTTCTTTCCATAAATAACGCATAAAATTATTTATGAAAAAGGCCATGGAGACGTTATCATCATATGGTGGGATATGTATATATATATATATACTTAAGTATGAGTTAATAAAGTAAAATTAGATTTAAGATGAGGAAGAAAATGTGTACAGGTATCGAAACAAGGCTAATAAACAAATTAACAGGCCTTTTTTTCAGAACATATGTAATAATGAAATTTATATTATAAACTGAAATTTACAAACTATCTTATCGATGTGACTATGAAGACTCAATATATTTGATGATAAGTGCAAGACCGGAGGGAATGTTTGACTTTTACTTGACACATGCAAACTTTTAAAACATACGCAGAGTATTTTCTAAAGCAAGTAGTGATCGAATTTTGAGATTCGTGGTTTCTTACCAAGACAGTGACTGCAAAGTATTCCACCAATTTACTTTAAATAATTAATGATTAGCAAAAAAAAGAGAAGAAGGAAAAGAGTGACAACACTTCCTGTAATCAGTTTTAACATTGTCAATGTAATAAAAACTCTAACTTCAAAAAGCAGATGATTTTGATCCGTTCAAACACCATTTCCGCAATTCCCCATCGCGAATGCTTGCATACTACTGTTCATAAATGATGTCATTAAAGATGAATACAACTCTTTAAAACATGGAATATAGTGAGAACCAAATATTGTATAAAATCAATACCAAGGATTTTCAAACGAATTCATGGGATAGGAATGAAAGGTACAAAGCTGATAAATCAATCAAAATTATAATACAGGAGTATTGGCTGGGTGTTATAAAAAAAAATGATCACCTTCACCCACTTTAAACTATCTTTGAGAGGCAGAAATAGGCGCATGAATTACCCGCACTGCTCTGAAACCAATTCTTTATCTGATAAAGTCACTTAAGCATTTGGGTCAACAAAGAGAAAGTTTCCAAAAAGCAAACAAATTCCAATTTAAAAATGAGTCTGGAAATTTCAATCTGAAGGAATCTGTCATTTCATTCTAATTAATCATGGGTTAAGACCATTAGAAACACAAAGACCAAAGAGTCTGCGCTCATCAGAAATGACTTGCTCACTCAGAAAAACGAACAAAAGTGAGCCATAATGACTACCTGAAAGGTCAACAGTGAATATCATCGGAAATCATCAGTATCATGCAAATTTTTCTAAGTCATTGACTCAGATGCTTTACTTAGCTTTCTCCACCTTTCTTCACACATACCATTAAGCTACGGCACATGATAAGCTGCTATAGGACTTACCCGTTATCTGAAGCCAATTGCTTGCTTCTCCACCAAATTTTTGAAAACACCATCTTCGATGAGCATTAATTCATCAAATGTTCCAATTTCTTCTACTTTACCGTTATTAACAACCACAATCTGATCAGCATATTTGATGGTTGAAAGGCTACAAAACAACAGAAATCAATGCTGTGCTTTTTAGAGATCAAATTTCCTCATAGATATCTATACCTTTCCATTATTTTTTGATTCTTTGTCTTTGAGGATATTTATGAGGTTAATAAAATATCTGAAACGGTACCGCATAATATCACTTCTTCAAACAGTGGAAAATTTGAAGGAAATATAAAAGAGTCCTTACCGATGAGCGATAATAAGAACAGTCTTTTTACTATTTGTAATCAGCTTCAAGATAGCTTTTCGGACCAAATCCTCACTTGTAGCATCCAAAGCACTTGTTGCTTCATCCATGATAAGCATCATTGGGTCCTATATTATGAAAGTGCTTAAACTTGGACAATAAATTTACATGTGAATGTCCCTGTTACAAATCTACCTATCATCTTAATAGCACAGTACTTCAAAAAGTATGAAGACATACTTCATGCTTCCTTCTTTTTAGCTTATTTCAACATCGACAACTTTGATTTAAAACAAACATTGATAAGCGCTCGAGCTATTGCAATTCTCTGACGTTGGCCACCGCTAAGCATTGAAGTTCCGTGTTCACCAACGATAGTTTCAAATCCATCCGGAAGATTTTTGATAAAATTTAAAGCATTTGCTAGACTTGATGCCTCTTCCAACTAAAAATTTTGTAACACCTTACAATTAAAAAAAGAAAAAAACCAAAAACAAAAAACAAAAAAGAAAAAACCAAAAGAAAAAAAAAGTGAATGAAAAAATGAAGTAGTGCAAAAATTACAAGAAAGAAAAACCTGAACATCCATTATTAATTCCGGATGTTTTGATCCATAAACGATATTATTTCTTATTGTTGTTGAAAACAAAATTGGTTCCTGGAACATCTGTTGTTTCCAAAAAAGAAAAATCTCAGTAGTATTTCAACAGAAATTCGTTTAGAACTTATAACTACTCATGCCGTTGTGTTGAAAGAAAACCT